TTCCTGACATTTATTCCTAGTAAAAATTACCTGTTTTAGGTCAGTTAGGATCACCACTTTATTTTAGAATGTGAAATGTCAGAATAATAGTAGAGAGAATGATTTATTTCAGCTTTTATTTATTTCATCACATTCCCAGTGGGTCAGAAGTTTACATACACTCAATTAGTATTTGGTAGCATTGCCTTTAAATTGTTTAACTTGGGTCAAATGTTTCGGGTAGCCTTCCACAAGCTTCCCACAATAAGTTGGGTGAATTTTGGCCCATTCCTCCTGACAGAGCTGGTGTAACTGAGTCAGGTTTGTAGGCCTCCTTGCTCGCACACGCTTTTTCAGTTCTGCCCACAACTTTTCTATAGGATTGAGGTCAGGGCTTTGTGATGTCCACTCCAATACCTTGACTTTGTTGTCCTTAAGCCATTTTGCCACAACTTTGGAAGCATGCTTGCAGTCATTGTCCATTTGGAAGACCCATTTGCGACCAAGCTTTAACTTCCTGACTGATGTCTTGAGATGTTGCTTCAATATATCCACATCATTTTCCTTCCTCATGACACCATCTATTTTGTGAAGTGCACCAGTCCCTCCTGCAGCAAAGCACCCCCACAGCATGATGCTGCTACCCCCGTGCTTCACGGTTGGGATGGTGTTCTTTGGCTTGCAAGCGTCTCCCTTTTTCCTCCAAACATAACGATGGTCATTATTGGCAAACAGTTATATTTTTGTTTAATCAGACCAGAGGAAATTTCTCCAAAAAGTACGATCTTTGTCCCCATGTGCAGTTGCAAACCGTAGTCTGGCTTTTTTATGGCGGTTTTGGAGCAGTGGCTTCTTCCTTGCTGAGCGGCCTTTCAGGTTATGTCAATATAGGACTTGTTTTACTGTGGATATAGATAATTTTGTACCTGTTTCCTCCAGCATCTTCACAAGGTCCTTTGCTGTTGTTCTGGGATTGATTTGCACTTTTCTCACCAAAGTACATTAATCTCTAGGAGACAGAACGTGTCTCCTTCCTGAGCGGTATGACGGCTGCGTGGTCCCATGGTGTTTATACTTGCGTAGTGTTGTTTGTACAGATGAACGTGGTACCTTCAGGCATTTGGAAATTGCTCACAAGGATGAATCAGACTTGTGGAGGTCTACAATTATTTTCTGAGGTCTTGGCTGATTTCTTTTCATTTTCCCATGATGTCAAGCAAAGAGGCACTGAGTTTGAAGGTAGGCCTTGAAATACATCCACAGGTACACCTCCAATTGACTCAAATTATTTCAATTAGCCTATCAGAAGCTTCTAAAGCCATGACATCATTTTCTGGAATTTTCCAAGCTGTTTAAAGGCACAGTCAACTTAGTGTATGTAAACTTCTGAACCACTGGAATTGTGATACAGTGAATTATAAGTGAAAAAATCTGTATGTAAACAATTGTTGGAAAGATTACTTGTGTCTTGCACAAAGTAGCTGTCCTAACCGACTTGCCAAAACTATAGTTTGTCAACCAGAAATTAGTGGAGTGGTTGAAAAACTAGTTGTAATGACTCCAACCTAAGTGTATGTAAACTTCCGACTTCAACTGTATCTTGAGTTTATCTCAGTTGTCTAAAAGGGCTTCACTGATGTGAAAGACGAAAGTAAATACCACTGGTAGGATTCCACCATACTGGTCGGCTTCCACATACGGTGGTGGAAAAAGTACCCAATTGTCATACTTGAGTAAAAGTAAAGATACCTTAATAGAAAATGACTCAAGTAAAAGTAAAAGTCACCCAGTAAACTTCTACTTGAGTAAAAGTCTAAAAGTATTTGGTTTCAAATATACTTAAGTATCAAAAGTTAAAGTAAAAGTATAAATCATTTAAAATGTCTTCTGTTAAGCAAACCAGACAGCACCATTTTCTTGTTTTTATAAATGTAAGGACAGCCAGGGGCACACTCCAACATTCAGACATAATTTACAAACTTAGCATGTGTGTTTAGTGAGTCCACCAGATCAAAGGCATTAGGGATGACCAGGAATGTTCTGTTGATAAGTACATGAATTGGACCATTTTCCTGTCCTGCTAAGCGTTCAAAATATAAAGAGTATTTTTGGATGTCAAGGAAAATGTATAGAGTAAAAAGTACAATATTTTCTTTAGGAATGTAGAGAAGTAAAAGTAAAAGTATATATAAATAGTCAAGTAAAGTACAGATACCCCCAAAAAACTACATAAGTAGTACTTTAAAGTATTTTTACTTAAGTACTTTACACCACTGCTTCCAATACTGTTTTCACCTTTACTATGTTTTCAGAGAAGAGACAAAGGGCAGAGACTTCATTATCATTTTCAAATGCAAATAGTATTCTGGATATAGTACAGATGCCAATAGGTACAGTATTCTGGATATAGTACAGATGCCAATAGGTACAGTATTCTGGATATAGTACAGATGCCAATAGGTACAGTATTCTGGATATAGTACAGATGCCAATAGGTACAGTATTCTGGATATAGTACAGATGCCAATAGGTACAGTGTTCTGGATATAGTACAGATGCAAATAGGTACAGTATTTGGATATAGTGCAGATGTTTAGTTTAGAAGTACAGCACACACATCCAGTAATTTGCAAGTGCAGTGTCTAAAAAGTAAAGTGATGAAAGAATGTTGAAAGCCCCTGGTTAAAACGTTAGAATTAGCATTCAAATGTGTGGGGGTCTCTACCGCATCCTTCGTTCATACTAGTGTATACCAGTGTGTGTAGGTGCATTGTAAAGAACTCACAAGGACCATTAGAGCATTACAGAACACACATTGCTGTTTTTATTAAAGCCTTGACTGGCAATAATACTGAAAAAAGTGAACTCAGAACAGATGGTGCATGGCAAGCCCACGGCTTCTCTTTTTTTGTTTTGTTTGTTTATTTGTAATTTTTCCTTCATTTTTTTGTAAGAGTACATTAACTCCTGCTTTTATTGTAGCATGGAATAACATCAATAAAAGAGAAAAAGAAATATACAACTTATATTACACTGTGTTATGAACAAAATATAAATCTATAACTCTATGTTATATTTACATAATTATCTTTCTCCATTTTTCAAGTTGAGATGGTAAGATACGTTTTTCTTTTTTACTAACTCTGACTTTGTTTTGAGCTCCACTCATGACATTTGATTGTCTTAATTATTATAATCTTCATCTCCATCATCATCATCATCATCGTCGCTGTATCAGCCAACCTCACTAGTGTCTAGCTCCCTATCTACATAACCCGCTCATTAAAAACTCTGGACCCTATTCATTAGTCTAACTAGAGCCCAGTGTTTGTCCTGGTCAGGTCACATGGTCAGGTCACAAAACTCCTGGCCCTAAGTACAGTATAATACCTCAGTATGTGGCAGACCTAGCCAGCTGGGATGATTGAATTTGTAACCCCCTCCTTTTCCCCACACTGTCTAGTCTACTTATCTAACCTACAGCTTCCAGACAGAATACAGGACACCCTCTCTCCAGCATTAGGTCTCACCATGGCCTGATTGTGAGGGTGTCTGTATCGCCAAGTATGATTGACTGTGAGGCTCACTATCTGGCAATAGGCATGGTTGTGATTGATTGTGTAAGAGAAACATCTACAGCAAGCATGACTGGGCTGGGTCACTATCTGGCAGCACACCTGTAGAGTGAGAGGACATGGCTAATGGCTAGGCCATAGGGTGGAGCTAAAACAAAGTAAAGTCTCCAGAGTTCTGGAGTCACATAGATATGACTGGTCATCTTACTGAATGTCAGGTTATGCTGTGGAACATTGTTGGATAGGCAAAGTAAACACAGATTTTCCTATGGGTCAAACATGTGTGTGTATGTTCTGATCACGTCCTAATTTGATCCAAATCCTGATCGCGTTAATAGAAATTTGCACAACTGTGTCTGCTAGTAATTTGTGTGTGTCTGCTGTGTGTGTGTGTCTGTGTCCGCCAGCCTCAATGATGTTCCACGGCATCTCAGTGAAAATAGCAACCCTAGTAAACGAGAGCCTTGCTCCTTTGTTCAGAGAAAACCGAATAGAATAATATAGCTGTTTTCTTTTATCTTCATAAAAAGAAAGAAAGTAGAAGAAACTTCACATTATACATGAACCATTACAAAAAAAAGATCACCTTCTTCTTTTCTCTGACCACACAGAGTCTGAGTGCTTTTAGAAATGGGTTTGGACATAAAAGGGTTAAGTTGTCAAGATGAGGGACGCAGATGGGGAGAGAGTTAGTGAATAGAAAGTCCTGTCTCCTTCACGAAGAACGACAGCCGTTCGTTCGCTGCCATCCGTGTCGCTCTACCTCCTCACACAGCGTCCATATAGGATTAATACTAAACAAACAGAACAAATAAAAACAGAAACCAAAAAATGTAAATTAAAACTCAAGTAAAAAGTAAAAGGACAACATTAGATGTAAATACTCTAAAGCAGCTAAATATAATAATGCTTCATTGACCGAATAAGTTTCATATTGGTCATAAAAACCCAATAGAGGACAAAATAAATTATACTGTACATAACTTACTAAAACTTAAAGAAATGCTGACCATCATTATAATTATTGTTAATAATATTATTACACTAGAGGCAGTTTGAATAAAAATAATAAAATACAGTATTCAAATACAAACGAAACACTGACGTGCTGATAAAACGATCAGCTCCTCCCAATAAGAACAGCAGAATGACGTGTTTTGGGGACACGGACGGGGACAGAGTAAGACACAGGGGGACATAGAGGGGGACTCTCAGAGAGAGGGACAGAACGGGGACAGACAGCAGAGACTTTAAATTACCAGTAGAAGCCCACAGGAACCCACCAAACTTCTATAACAAAATACACACCAACTTTGTGTGATATCAGTTGGGAGTATTATGAGATGGTTTGGGTTGTGGGTTTGGCTGGATCAGTTGGCAGCGGAGTAGAGTTGTTATGGGGTTTCAATTGGGGAACTGGGACTTGGGAATGTGTGTGTGTGAGTGTACAAGAGAGCCATAGGGCTTTCTCTGTCTCTATACACCAGGATACTGAAGTTCTGGGGGCTCACAGGGGAAACTCCAGTGTTGTCTGTTTGTCTTGGAAAGGGACAGAGTTCTGGGACCTAGTGATGACTAGACCAGCTCACACAGACTAAACACACACACACACAGCAAGTTTGCTTACACACACTCTCACACACATACAGGGGGATGTACCTTCCAAAGACACAAAGTCCTCATGATCAGAATAAAGGAAAGGTAAACAAAAGGTAAAAGAGCGAGAGTGTAACAGGAGAGAAGAGGGTTGGTGGGAGATTGTCTCATCACACAGTACTGTCCAAGCTTGCCCATGATGAGAGACTCTGAGGTCCCCCCCCCCCACAGTCCCCTGAAGTGAGCCGGTCCTCACAGTCCAACACTGGCCCTGACTGGACTGTCCCATTTTGACTCTCATAAGGGGAGTCACACACACACACACAGAGGGAGGATATCAGCTGATAGTACACTGCAGAGTTGAAGAAAGAATAATAATTGTAAATAAAAATTTTGCTTTGACTTCTGTCAGGTGCTTTACAATGAAAAGGGAAAAATTCTATTTTGTATCTATTATTAAAACTGTAGCACAAAAACAACAAATCACATTCACAAGCCACTTGTTGGCACCGTGTACCTGAGTGAGAATATCATAGAACCAAGAAGAAAAAAAAGCTGTTTTAAAAGTGTCTCTTTTATAAACAAACAGGTCGACCTTTTTAAGTGTCTCTTTAATCAACTGACAGGCCTGCTGTTTTAAAAAAATGTATCTTTGAAGTCAAACTGGTCTAAAAGGTTGTTTTTTCTGTGTTTTCTCCTCATATTGTAGCTTACTCATGACATTATGTATATCTCATCATGCCTCTATGGCGTACACAGCAGTAATACTCTAGTACTCTGTAGAACTTTGTAGTACTTTGTTAGTATGCTGTAGTACTGTGTAGTACTCAGCAGAAGTCACGGCAATCAGCTCTTCTCCTCCTAGACTCCAGTCGGTGTAACAGTCAGTGTGAGTGACAGGTCCTGTGCTTGATTTCATTGGTCGGTTGCTGGTATCGGGATTCCAATGGGAGGGGCTTGGCTCTGAGATCCCAGAGTCCTTGTTGGTTAAGGGGTAAAGGAGGGCGAGGTTTGTGACATTGAATGTGATTGGATATAAGGGACGGATAGTCTCTCAGGATTGGTGGACGGACGGGGGTGTTTCCAGCAAGAAGCTGGGTATCTGATTCTGATTCGCTCTGCTTCCAGATTATTGGTGGTTGTCGTTATCACTTCCATAATCTCCCTCCTCGTCCTCATAATCAAAGTCGTCGTACGCATCACCGTTGCTGTCGTCCAATCGCAGCTCCTCCTGTTTGACTCGGGTCTCGTCTCCCTTGAGGCTGGGGTGGTAGGGGGTCTGGAGGGGTGGGGCGGCAGGTTCGGGGCTGCTGGACAGTGAGGAGTGCTCCGAGGGCATCTGGGGGGAGGGCAAACCTGCCATGGAGAGGGCACCTGGGTACACCACGCCCGCCGAGGACAGGGGCAGCTGGGCCTGTTGTCTGGAGAAAAACACAATACAACAGTTAGTACAGTATAATAACATAATATAATGTAGAAATCTGGATGAATAAAATTAAATCCATCAAATGCATTTATATAGCTATTTTTACAGTCAACTGTTGACACAACGTGCTTTATAGTAAACTCAGACCACAAAGAAAAGTTTTAGAAAAAACTCCTTGCGAGGAAATACTTTATCCCACAGTCGGAAGTTTGTGTGTGTGTGGTTTTAGTTGGTTACTCACTCACCCCACAGTGAAGTACTGTCTCATCTCCTGCCGGCGGTTCCTCATAATGGCCTTGTACTCTCCAATCCTCAGCTTCTTCCCGTCCACCAGACAGGTTCGTTTGGGCCGGGGTTTGTACTTGTAGTCAGGGTACTTCTCCAGGTGCTGCTTGCTCAGCCTGGCCTGCTCCTCATAGTATGGCTGCTTCTCTAGGTTAGTCATGGACTTCCAACGAGAACCTGGAGAGAGAGGGAGGATGGTAGAGGGAGAGAGGGAGAGGGAGAGGGGGAGAGAGAGGGAGGGAGAGAGCGAGGGAGAGCGAGTTGAAAGCAGGTTAAGTGTCGTCCTCGTTCACTGTGCTCATCTCATCATTAGAGTTCAAAATGATTACCTCACTCTGTCTGTCCTCATTGACCTTATTAACACACACACACACGAGCGTGCAAGCAGACACACACACCGACACACATAAGCATGCAAGCAGGCACACAAGCAAGCACACAGCAAGCATGCACGCAATTGTATTTAAATACAATACGTACAATATGTTCACAGCCTCTTTGCAGAAGACCTACCAAATTCTAAACCACCAAAACACATCTTCTCCAATCTGGCTCTTTACAGTGTATCTGGCTGCAGTGTATAAGCATGCATGTGTGTCTATCGTGATCTGGCCCCAGTGTGTGTGGTGGGGTGTGTGTGTATCTGGGCTGAATTTACACTCTTGCTCCTACTGCATGTTAATGGTTAAAAGCTGTCTGTGCTGGCCTGGTTAGCTACCACACTACTTTACCTTCCCTGCTGGAATAGGAAACTCCTTCTGTTAACAATCGAGAGCAGGCCCTTATTAAAACCAGATTTCCCTGTGTTATAAAACGTTTAGGAGGTCTTTAAAATGTCAAACACAATCCCAGAGGTCTGGGGAGAATGTCACAGACTGGAGTGCTTGTTTAATGCATAATGAATTATATCATCATTGTTGGAGCTCTCCGTTCACTCTCCAGAGCTAGTCATTAAGAGCTAGTTCCACAATACCGCTTCTTGTGAGGAACAGGGAACGGTGTGTGTGTGTGTGTGTGTGTGTGTCGTGTGTGTGTGTGTGCGTGTATGTGGATTGTGTCGCGTCTCTCTCCCAGCCTTAGACGTTGTGTGTCTCTGGGGACCCCGCTAGGTTCACAGCCCTCCGTCTCAGTAGCACTGCTAGCTAACTACACTACAGATGTTCAGGCAACCAAAGATAAGAACGGGACAAAAGATACTGTCAATCAGAGTGCTGCTGTCACAAAGAGAGACGGAGGTACGGTGTGCGATAGGGGCCACACAGAGCACAGTGACAATGACTGAGTACTGATGTGGTGTAGCTAGGGAGGAAGGGAATAGAGAAACACACACACAAGAAAGCAGGCAGGCAAGCATGCATACACACATGTACATAACTAAGTACATGGAGAAGTAATTTCCATAGAGAGGAGTTGAGGGGGAGAGGGCAGAGAGATCATGTATTCTTCTGCGCCTGAGGAAACACAGAGAGAGAGAGAGAGAGAGAGAGAGAGAGAGAGAGAGAGAGAGAGAGAGAGAGAGAGAGAGAGAGAGAGAGAGAGAGAGAGAGAGAGAGAGAGAGAGAGAGCGCAGCCTGGCCACACCACAAGGGATCAGCTCATTCTCATGCCTCTCTCTCCCCCTGTCTTCCATCTTCCACTCTCTCTCTATTCTTCCCTGAAAGGCAGGCACACTCCTTCTCTCCCCTCTCACACCCCCCTTTCCCTCCTCTCCTTGTCTGGAGGGGGTCTTAGTCTTACCGAGGATTTTGCTGATGTTGGAGTTGTGCATGTCGGGGAAAGCCTGGAGAATCTTCCTCCTCTCATCCTTTGCCCAGACCATGAAAGCATTCATGGGTCGTTTAATGTGCGGTTCGCTGTTGCCTCGGCCCCGGGCCTCACGGAACATCCTGGAATCAGACACACTGGGGCTGCCTGTGGGAGAGGAGGGGGATGTATACACATACATTAACACAATCAAACACACTTATTCATATATGCATACAGTCTTAGACACACACACACACACACTGTTTAAGACAAAGTACAAACGCATGTTTGTGCACACACACACACACAAACACATACCATCTGAGTCTCCACTCATGGTGAAGTCCATCATGGCGTGGCTGAACTTCTCTCTGTCCTCTGACTGCTGCTTCAGCTGGTGGCTCAGACTCTCCAGAGCTGCCTTGTCCTGGAGAGGAGAGAGACAAACAGTCAGTCAATCAGTCAGTCAACATGGAAACCAATCAATCAAGTATCTATAGACAATCAATCAATCTTTAGACACATTAGACTGCTTTGTTCTCAGGGGGGAGAGAGATACAGGCGTCAGTCAATCAACACGTTAGGTGAACATATCAGTCAATAACCAGGCTATAAAGCTATTGATTAGCACATGTAGATACTGTATGTTGGATGTGTGTCAGAGGGTGTGTGTACCTGTGTTGTTAGGCTTGCTTAGTGGGGGCAGAGGGCATAGTTAGTTGGCACTAAAGCATTGTGCTCTGGTCTGTAACCAGCCTGTCTATGTGGCAGGGTGGAGACAAGGGGGGCAGAGGGCAAGACTGGCACTAAAACAGGTAACAGCTGACGACGTTGAGATTATGTTTGTGTCCATCTGCTCTGATTGGATGTGTGTGTGTATGGGAATGACTGTGTATGTGTGTGTGTGTTATATCCCAGCAGCCACCTGCATGGTTATGCTGGATGTCTCTCTCCCTCTCTGTGAGGCCCTTGGGGTCGATCCATTAGAGAGAGAGAGACGCTCCACACACACGCCTGCATTTATAGCTTAATTATACGATTAGAATCCATCCCAAAAGCGGTGCATCTTTAAAAACAACACTCCAGCCCTGGCCTAACCATTAGAAGATGACCCAGACAGACTGGCACCAGCCTAATGAAATGCATGTCGCTGTTTTACAGCACTACAATTTAATTGTTCAGCTGAGATAATTCATCAGATTTGAATAAATATAATCGCTAAAGAGAGGGAACGAGAGAGACAGAGAGAGGAGGAGAGAGAGTGGAGACAGTGATAAAGAAAGAGAACAAGTGTGAGAAAGGGATTTGTCTGCGTGAAACTATTTCAGGGAAAAATGCTGCAGAGATGACTTGCAGGCGAAATAAGTGACACTAGATAACTCCCTGTCCCAGATATTGAAACACTGCTAGTATTGATCAGTGTCTGTGTCATTGTATGTATGGAATGTTCACTGCAACCTCAAAGCCAATCAATCCCAAACCATTTAAAGGGTTGAAGAATGGTTTACTGATATCAATAACCACTTAAGGTACTACTGATTGAGGATCTATAATTTTTAGGACCAAACAATGTCAGAGTTGAGAATAAGTTGAGGTATGGAAGTTGTTTAACAAACTGAACGCAAAACGCAGGCACCATGTGCTACAGAGGTAACCTTCAGTCAGAGTTATAGTATAGTAGACAACCTCCACATTGTTCTATTCATGTGTTAGAAATCAGCTGGCCATGGTCTGCTCTATTTTACACTATAGAGGACTGAGACTGAGAGAAGCAGAGGATGATTATTCTATTGTTGTTCATCCAGCTTCATCCATCCACCCAGCAATCAGGACAATTATAACCCCAGAGGATTAGGGGAGAGCTGGGCAGAGAGTAGTGGACGTGTCAGGTCCCTATGGAGCTACGGCTATGGGGTTCACATTGAAAGTCAACTCTGAATAAATTACTTGCTTTAAATGCAAGATTGTCCATTTTAGGTATGAGACTGTAAATGTGTCAGGAGAGAGGAAGGATGGAAGAGAGAGAGGGAGAGAGAGAGAGAGGGGGGGGTTTTTCTCCCTTTTTGGGGCTCTCCGATTTCGTTCGGGCCCCCCCGAAATTTCTCCCAAAACAGTTAAATTTAAGACCCGTGTTGTGGGGTTCCCGAGGGGCAAATGATCCGGGTTAAAAAAAATTTTAAAGCTGCCGAGAGGCGCCTTTCTTCTCCTCGTTAGAGCCCCCCCCTTCTCCACCACCTTCCCCTCTCCCCCCCCACTTACTCCAACCCGACACGCCCGCAAACCCCCAAACCCAAATCCCCGAGTCCCCACCCCCTCCAGAAAACCCTTAGACCACATTTAAACCCCTTCAATTTCTTTACCTTTTCCAGACAACTGGGAAGGGAAAGGAAAAAGAAGAAAAAATAATGGGACAAAAGGGGATTAATTTCACAAATGATGCCAATTTAGGAGGAGGGGAAAGCCAATGAAAAAGGTAGAGAATTTTTGGGGAGGAATGAAAGTAAAGAGGGAAGAGGGGAGAGAGAGAAAGGGAGGGGGGAAAAGGGACAGAGATGGGGGACCCTTAGAAAGGCAAAGCCCCCTGAAATGAAAAGGGAGACGGGGCATGTGGGAGATTTTGCCAAAAGGCCCAGATCCCCTGGGATGGAGGAGGCAATGAGCAATAACGATAAACCCGAGAGGGGGAAGAGCGGGGAGAGAAAAGACCTTTAAGGGGTATAAAGGAAGGTGGAAAGAAGAGAGTGGAGAAACGAGGGAAAAGGAATGAGGGGAACCAGGAGGAGGGAGGGGGGACCAAATGGAGGGTGAAGGAGAGAAAACCCTTTTATTTTGGAGAGGCTGGATTAATGAAGGCGGAGACCAAGAGGATAGGGAAAGAGATGTCATCGTATCGAGAATGAATTAGAGGGGAGAGGGAGAGACTGGGAGAGAGAGTTGGAGGTCAGAGTCCCTAGGAGCTACGGCATGGGGTTCACATTGAAAGTCAACTCTGAATAATTACGTTGCTTTAAAGGAAGATATGCATTTTAGAGTATGAGACGGTGAAAGATGAGAGACGAGACGGAGAGAGAGCGAGAGAGGGGAGAGAGAGAGAGAGAGAGATGGGAGAGAGAGACGAGAGAGGAGAGAGAGAGAGAGGAGGGGAGAGAGAAAGGAGGAGAGAGAAGGAGAGAGAGAGAGAGAGGATCAAAGAGGGATGGAGGAGAGAGAGACAGAGAGAGGAGAGAGAGAGAGAGAGAAGAGAGAGCTGTTGAATGTCAGCAGTGCAGATGCTCTTTAAGATCCAACGCGCTGCTGTGCTTGTGTGTGTGTGTGCCTCTGCGTGTGCACCAGCTGACTCCCAGTGTGTTTAACAAATAACCACAATTTAGCCACGCTGCCGAGAAGCAGGCGCCGTCACTTCGTATTAGCTTCTCCTCTACGCTTCGCTAGCAGGCTCCCCGGCCCTCCTCCTGCATCCCCTACCTCCCCCGCTTCCTCCAGCCTCCCCCAACACCCAACCTGCCCCGAGCACGCCTCACAGACACACACACACTCATTACCTCAGCCAAGGGTTCCTCTAGCTGACTAATGTACCTTTACTGCTCTTATTGCACAGGTTATTGACAATTATGTAGACCGTTTCAATATATACCGACATAATGCTGAATTACATTTCATCTTAATGTATCATATTATATCATATTACACAATATTGTGTGGTAATGTGTTGTAATATATTTTATAAAGGTAAATTATACTAGAATATTACATTAAATTCCAACATATTGTATCATATTACACCACATTGTAGGATAATATAGTGCATTGCAGTACAAATATACAATGAGGGAAAAAAGTATTTGATCCCCTGCTGATTTTGTACATTTGCCCACTGACAAAGAAATGATCAGTCTATAATTTTAATGGTAGGTTTATTTGAACAATGAGAGACAGAATAACAACAAAAAAATCCAGAAAAACGCATGTCAAAAATGTTATACATTTATTTGCATTTTAATGAGGGAAATAAGTATTTGACCCCCTCTCAATCAGAAAGATTTCTGGCTCCCAGGTGTCTTTTATGCAGGTAACGAGCTGAGATTAGGAGCACACTCTTAAATGGAGTGCTCCTAATCTCAGTTTGTTACCTGTATAAAAGACACCTGTCCACAGAAGCAATCAATCAATCAGATTCCAAACTCTCCACCATGGCCAAGACCAGAGAGCTCTCCAAGGATGTCAGGGACAAGTTTGTAGACCTACACAAGGCTGGAATGGGCTACAAGACCATCGCCAAGCAGCTTGGTGAGAAGGTGACAACAGTTGGTGCGATTATTCGCAAATGGAAGAAACACAAAATAACTGTCAATCTCCCTCGGCCTGGGGCTCCATGCAAGATCTCACCTTGTGGAGTTGCAATGATCATGAGAACGGTGAGGAATCAGCCCAGAACTACACAGGAGGATCTTGTCAATGATCTCAAGGCAGCTGGGACCATAGTCACCAAGAAAACAATTGGTAACACTACGCCGCGAAGGACTGAAATCCTGCAGCGCCCGCAAGGTCCCCCTGCTCAAGAAAGCACATATACATGCCCATCTGAAGTTTGCCAATGAACATGAATGATTCAGAGGAGAACTGGGTGAAAGTGTTGTGGTTAGATGAGACCAAAATGGAGCTATTTGGCATCAACTCAACTCGCCGTGTTTGAAGGAGGAGGAATGCTGCCTATGACCCCAAGAACACCACCCCCACCGTCAAACATGGAGGTGGAAACATCCATGATTTTTTTGATGTCATTCTGTCTCTCACTGTTAAAATAAACCTACCATTAAAATTATAGACTGATCATTTCTTTGTCAGTGGGCAAACGTACAATATCAGCAGGGGATTAAATATTTTTTTCCTCACTGTATATATATATATATATATTTTACATTTTTGTCATTTAGCAGACTTAACAGTAGTGCATTCATTTTATGATACTGTAGCTAGGTGGGACAACCACATATCACAGGCATAGAAAGTGTAATGGAAAGTGAATGTTTCCTCAACAAAGTAGCTATAAGTAGGGTCAGAGCTTGAAAAGGGGAGGGGTTGTCTAGTGCAAGTGCTGGTTCATTTTTATTTTGTTATTATTATTATTATTATTTTTATTTTTTTATCATAATGTAGCTACTTTTCTAGAGGGGAATTTATTCCTATTTCTTAAATCCAAGGTCAGGATACAGGATTATATCCTGTTAATACAACATAAGTAATGTATGAGGACAGAAGGCATGTGGTTGTGTTTAAAAAATAATACTTGGAAGGTTAGGGATGTACTAACATATCTGACCTTGTCGGAGCGTCCGTTGTTGAGGCTGAGGTTGTTGACAGCGGCCACCTTGGCGTCCAACACCTGCTGTTCTCTCTTCAGCTGCTCCTTCATCTGCCTGGCCTCAGCGAAAGCCTTGGTCACAGCCTCATGGTCATTCAGATAGCCCCCCGAGGACAGGGATGACAGCAGGTCTGATGAGGGAGAGAGACAGACACAGAGAAGAGGATATGTTAATATTAGAGACTGGATGACAGGACAGGGATGACAACAGGTCTGGAGAGACACACAGACACACAGACACACAGACACACAGGAGAGCATGTTCCTAATAAAAACTAAATGAGGGGAAATATCAGGAATTCTGTTTTTTTTTGTAATTTATTTGTGTGTATTTTAGTTTGAATTAAATCATATACAGTTGAAGTCGGAAGTTTACATCCACCTTAGCCAAAAACATTTAAAATCCGTTTTTCACAATTCCTGACATTTAATCCTAGTAAAAATTCCCTGTCTTAAGTCAGTTAGGATCACCACTTTATTTTAAGAATGTGAAATGTCAGAATAATAGTAGAGAGAATTATTTATTTCAGGTTTTATTTATTTCATCACATTCCCAGTGGGTCAGAAGTTTACATACACTCAATTAGTATTTGGTAGCATTGCCTTTAAATTGTTTAACTTGGGTCAAACGTTTCGGGTAGCCTTCCACAAGCTTCCCACAATAAATTGGGTGAATTTTGGCCCATTCCTCCTGACAGAGCTGGTGTAACTGAGTCAGGTTTGTAGGCCTCCTTGCTCGCACACGCTTTTTCAGTTCTGCCCACAACTTTTCTATAGGATTGAGGTCAGGGCTTTGTGATGGCCACTCCAATACCTTGACTTTGTTGTCCTTAAGCCATTGTCCATTTGGAAGACCCATTTGCGACCAAGCTTTAACTTCCTGACTGATGTCTTGAGATGTTGCTTCAATATATCCACATCATTTTCCTTCCTCATGATGCCATTTATTTTGTGAAGTGCACCAGTCCCTCCTGCAGCAAAGCACCCCCACAGCATGATGCTGCCACCCCCGTGCTTCACGGTTGGGATGGTGTTCTGCTTGCAAGTACCCCCTTTTTCCTCCAAACATAACGATGGTCATTATGGCCAAACAGTTCTATTTTTGTTTAATCAGACCAGAGGGCATTTCTCCAAAAAGTACGATCTTTGTCCCCATGTGCAGTTGCAAACTGTAGTCTGGCTTTTTTATGGCGGTTTTTGAGCAGTGGTATCTTCCTTGCTGAGCGGCCTTTCAGGTTATGTTGATATATTACTTGTTTTACTGTGGATATAGATACTTTTGTACCTGTTTCCTCCAGCATCTTCACAAGGCCCTTTGCTGTTGTTCAGGGATTGTTTTGCACTTTTTGCACCAAAGTACGTTAATCTCTAGGAGACAGAACGCGTCTCCTTCCTGAGCGGTATGATGACTGTGTGGTCCCATGGTGTTTATACTTGCATACTATTGTTTGTACAGATGAACGTGGTACCTTCAGGCGTTTGGAAATTGTTCCCAAGGATGAACCAGACTTGTGGAGGTCTACAATTGTATTTCTGAGGTCTTGGCTGATTTATTTTGATTTTCCCATGATGTCAAGCAAAGAAGCACTGAGTTTGAAGGTAGGCCTTGAAATACATCCACAGGTACACCTCCAATTGACTCAAATGATGTCAATTAGCCTACCAGAAGCTTTTAAAGCCATGACATCATTTTCTGGAATTTTCCAAGCTGTTTAAAGGCACCGTCAACTTCTGACCCACTGGAATTGTGATACAGTGAATTATAAGTGAAATAATCTGTCTGTAAACAATTGTTGGAAAGATTACTTGTGTCATGCACAAAGTAGATGTCCTAACCGACTTGCCAAAACTATAGTTTGTTAACAAGTAATTTGTGGAGTGGTTGAAAAACGAGTTTTAATGACTCCAACCTAAGTGTATGTAAACTTCCGACTTCAACTGTATATACCAAAAAAATTGAATAAAAATAGAATAGAATAGAACGTTATTGTTCAACTGTAAATGGAAACTTGTACTGTATGTCTCTGTTTGTCAGATTGCAGATCACTCCAGCTCTTTAAGAGATAAACTATTTGGAGGTAAATAGTCTCTAAGGCCATCCAGAATAAACACTGTCCTTAACCACTGTGAGGTACGGTAAAAACATGACCATACACACAACCAGAGGGGAAACACCCGTACATGCAGTCGCACAAACACCCAGACACAGACTGACCAGTTGACTGCTAAGGCTGTGTGTGTGACTCAGTTTGTACCTGTGGCCAGGTCTGCGCTCTCTTAGCCTCCACTGAGAGACAGAGGCCTTCAGATCACACGCATGCACGCACGCACCCACACACACTCACACCCCTGTCAAAACACTGCCACTGTCTCTTCACAGCAGTTCTGTCACTAGCAATACAGGGGCCATTTTAAGTCTGGATGTTATTTGCCGTGGTGAATGTCACTCCCACCCAGCGGCAGATAGAAACACATGTAGAACAGTAAGCACAGTGTGCACAGGCATCCTGACAGACCATCTAAAGCCCAATCCCTCAAATCTCCAATCTCCACATCATTCAAATTTATTTAAAAGCTCCTATTTTTTTCTCTCCAGCAGTCCTCCTGAAAGGGGATGCAGTTTTTTTTACACAAATACACACACACGCATGCGTGGTTGCACACACACAAACACACACACACACACCTCCTTTCCGCCTGCCTGTCCACACTCACAAACACACACATTCCCTCACTGTCCATTCATTTTTTTCATCCAAAAGCTCATGGAATTCTTTGAAGAGTAGAAAAGCGCAGGCAGGCAGCATCCCGGAAAGATTACTCCTATTAAATCCAAAATCCTGCTAATTTGCCCGTCCGGAAACATCTGCCCAACGCATATCAAAGATGATTCTCTACTTCTTTTCAGCGTTGTTATTTGCATTATTGCAGCGGCTTAGCGGAGGGATGGAGGGATGGAGGGATGGAGGGATGAGGGAGGCCGTGCTATCGCTCTCTCCCCATCTCTGGGTTATCTCTAACAAAGAGCTGCTCCAAGCTTATGGCCCTTTATCTATCACTAATCCCTCCTGCTAATGCCATCTCAGGGCAGATTACGCTCTCAGATTTGTAATGACAGAGGAGTGAACTCTTTCAGAAGTTATAACGGCAAAATCGGATGCAGAGGGCTGGAGAGAGAGAGAGACCGCTGAGGTGGGCTGTGATGGCTGGCTTGCTGGATGGTAGTGGGTTTTAATCTGCATTCAATGTGTGTGTGTGTTTGTGTGGATAGAAATAGGGGATATGAACGTGTGTGTGTGTGTGAGCAGAGATGGACTGGGTCTGCGTTCTTCTCTCTTTTAATGTGTGTGTGTGTGTGTGTGTGTGTGTGTGTGCGTGTGCACATGTGTGTACTGTGTGTGTGTCCTTGTGTATCTGATTGCCAACCTAGGCATGACCCAGATAGGAGGGCTGGGGCCAACAGTGAGCCCAAACTCTACCCTACCCTGCCCCTCACTCTGCTCTGCCCTGGCACTAACGCATCAGAGTGGCCACACACTGTTGAAATTAGAGAGTCACACAGAGTGGGTCTCAGCAGTAGAGGTCACAGACACTGACAGGCTTTCAGAGTTCAGTCCTTCAGATCAGACTCTCTCAGACTGTTATTGTGGAGAGATCGGAATTGTGGGAGACAGACTGATGGAAGTCAAGGACAGATGCTGTGATGAGACTGGACAGAGAGAAGCACGCACGCACACATACACACAACCAATGAATAATAAACATGTGTTATTAAATCCATTTCATGTCATAACTCCCTGTCTCTCCGTGTTTGACTGCAATAGCTAACAACATGAATCTTCTTCTGACCTGGTAAACACTCGAACAGGAACAGATGGAAACAGACTGTGTGCCGTGGCAGCAGGCAGACAATCATTGTGATCTAAATTGAACGGCTTGCCTCAACATGTTCCGTCTGAAACTTTACAACCTAATCCATTTTTCAGAACAAAAAACATCTGGGATGTAAATCCACTAATCTGCTATTAAATCCTGTGATTTGTTGAAAAACACTGAGATTAGAAAGAATACAAGTTAGAAATGGAGAGGGGTGTGTGTATTAGAATGTGTGTGTGTATTATAATAGCTGTGTGTGTGTGTGTTTGTGTGTGAGTTCTAACAGCCGTGCCGTGTGTTTATAATAGCCTTGCGGTGTGTGTGTGTGTGTGTGTGTGTGTGTGTGTGTGTGTGTGTGTGTGTGTGTACCGTTCTGTAAGAGGCTTGTCTAATCTCATCTCTGATATGTCCTGTCTGTCACACAGCTACTCTATTCATCTGAAAAACACACTCCTTCATCTCTCCTCTTCCATCACTCCATTTCCCCTCCTCCCTTCACACTCCTCCATCTCTCCACCTCCTCCTCCTCCTCCACCTCCTCCTCCTCCTATTCAAACCCCCTCTTAACCATCCCTGCCTCTCTCAGTTGCTAATAAACGCTTCACAATAATATACCCTACAGGCGTACACAATGGGAAAACCCTAATTATAGCATATTTACATGTGTGAACACACGTTGTAGTCAGTGAACTATCAGTGTAGCATGAATAAATGACTTAAAAAACGACTTAATGGTGATGTGAGTGAAATAAATCACATGATGTCAATACATGAATTAAATCGCATTAATGTACATAGTTATTACTTAAAACATCTGCTACTACTACTAATATTATTATTGTTATTATTATTATTATTATTATTGTATTACTACCACTACTACTAAAAATAGTACAACATAAAAGTGTGTGTAATGTGCCGTGTCTGTAAAGTGTCTTCTCTCTGTTTGTACATAGTTAAGTGTGTGTGGGTGTGTGTATATATACTGTGTATATATACTGTGTATATATACTGTGTATATATACTGTGTATATATATATATATATATATATATATATATATATATATATATATATATATATATATATATATACTGTATACACACCCACATACATTCGGAATGTATTCAGACCCATTCACTATTTCCACATTTTCCCATTCACTCCCCCCACCCCATCAATCTACACACAATACCCCATAATGACAAAAGAAAAAACTGGTTTTTATACAATTTTTTGCAAATGTATAAAATAAAATAAAAAAAGATAACATTTACATAATTATTCAGACCCTTTACTCAGTACTTTGTTGAAGCACCTTTGGCAGCGATTACAGACTTTAGTCTTCTTGGGTATAACATTTACATTTTAGTCATTTAGCAGACGCTCTTATCCAGAGCGACTTACAGGAGCAATTAGGGTTAAGTGCCTTGCTTAAGGGCACATCGACAGATTTTTCACCTAGTCGGCTCGTGGATTAGAACCAGCGACCTTTCGGTTACTGGCACAACGCTCTTACCCACTAAGCTACCTGCCGCCCTACGCTACGCTACAAGCTTGGCACACCTGTATTTGGGGAGTTTCTCCCATTCTTCTCTGCAGATCCTCTCAAGCTCTGTCTGGTTGAATGGGGAGCTTCGCTGCACAGCTAGTTACAGGTCTCTCCAGAGATGTTTGATTGGGTTCAAGTCCAGGGTTCTGGCTGGGCCACTCAAAGACATTCAGAGACTTGTCCCGAAGCCACTCCTGCGTTGTCTTGGCTGTGTGCTTAGGGTTGTTGTCCTGTTGGAAGGTGAACCTTCGCCTCAGTCTGAGGTCCTGAGCGCTCTGGAGCAGGTTTTCATCAAGGATCTCTCTGTACTTTGCTTCGTTAATCTTTCCTTCGATTCTGACTAGTCTCCCGGTCCCTGCCGCTGAAAAACATCCCCACTGCATGATGCTGCCACCACCATGCTTCACCGTAGGGATGGTATTGGCCAGGTGATGAGCGGTGCCTGGTTTACTCCAGACGTGGTGCTTGGCATTCAGGACAAAGAGTTCAATCTTGTTTCTCATGGTCTGAGAGTCCTTTAGGTGCCTTTTGGCAAACTCTAAGTGGGCTGTCATGTGCCTTTTACTGAGGAGTGGCTTCCATCTGGCCACTTTACCATAAAGGCCTGATTAGTGGAGTGCTGCAGAGATGGTTGTCCTTCTGGAAGGTTCTCCAATCTCCACAGAGGAACTCTGGAGCTCTGTCAGAGTGACCATTGGGTTCTTGGTCACCTCCCTGACCAAGGCCCTGCTCCCACGATTGCTCAGTTTGGCCGATTGGCCAGCTCTAGGAAGAGTCTTGGTGGTTCAAAACTTCTTCCATTTAAGAATGATGGAGGGCACTGTGTTCTTGGGGACCTTCAGTCATGCAGAAATGTTTTGGTACCCTTCCCCAGATCTGTGCCTCGACACAATCCTGTCTCTGAGCTCTTCGGACAATTCCTTCGACCTCATGGCTTGGTTTTTGCTCTGACATGCACGGTCAACTGTGGGACCTTACATAGACAGGCGTGTGCCTTTCCAAATCATGTCCAATCAATTGAATTTACCACAGGTGGACTCCAATCAAGTTGTAGAAACATCTCAAGGATGATCAATGGAAACAGGATGCACCTGAGCTCAATTTCGAGTCTCATAGCAAAGGGTCTGAATAGTTATCTAAATTAGGCATTTAAAAATAAAAAAAATAAAAAATGTGCAAAAAATTCTAAAAACCTGTTTTCACTTTGCCATTATGGGGTATTGTGTGTAGATTGATGAGGACATTTTTTTTTTTTTAATCCATTTTAGAATAAGGCTGTAACGTAATTTTGTTTTTGAAAAAGTGAAGGGGTCTGAATACTTTCCGAATGCACTGTGTATGTATGTGTGTGTTATTTTCAATGTATATATGCATGGTGAGTGGGTGCAGTCCCTTACCTATGGAGCTGACTCTGGAAGGTGGTCCTCCGATGCTGGAGGGGGCTGTGCTGTGTTTCATTAATCCGGTGCTATGGTGGCCCAGCTTCATGGTGGGGACCTGTGGGGAAGCGGGGGAGGTGGGTGACTTGCTCTCGCTTGCTGTCTTAGGCTTGGACGACAGGTTCAGGGGCTGAGCACCCTCGTCCTGCAAAATCAAAACACACCAGTTGTGGCCTAGTGGTCGCTGGGTGGGTTCAACCAATCACTGAGGATCACCTCAGACGTATGCCCAATCAGAAGGCTTGGATTGGATTCTACAGCAAGGCAGAGTGGGCAAACATGTGGCCCATCTGCTCAAACCACAGGATGAGATTCACAAAGCTAAAATACATACTGTATGTTGCTTTGCTTGTTCATCACCATATACATTTCCCCATGCCTGGGACGAGAGCCATGCACATTCTCCGCCTCCTGAAAGAGGTACTGGACATGCCATGCCTCAAGGTGAGAATTCATGCTCGTGAGTCGTGCACATGCCACACAGAAGAGGACACGCATAGCACACTTATAAAATATATTATCCACAGCACACGAGGCATACTATGCTTCACAAGGACACCATAAGAGCCCCTATCAGACACTTAACCTCTTCAAGGTCGCCCATTAAGTCCAGCTGAGAGCTTTTACAATAGCTCATAAGAATGTGGATGGAAAAAACAAGGATATAGAAAAATGCTTGTTTTTTTTTGTATATTATAAGGCAACGTGTAAAGACTCTCTGAGAGGTGTGACCTGTTGAGTTTCAGCAGTATATTGGTAGACTTGAGGAAGACAACAGCAGTAGACAACAGTAGGAGCATCAAGCCTCAAACCCAGGGTGGATGTGTGTTAGATCACGGCGAGATGGCCAGATGTACACAGCCACTCTGTCTGATTAAAACACAACAATTAACACTCACACACAACAGGGGGTAAAGTATCCATGGTTAGCTAGGAATACATCTAGAACAGGGGTCGGTAACAAACGGACCGCTGGCCAAAACCGGCCCGCAATTTGTTTTTTGGGCCCCCCAACAGTTCTTTTTTTTGGGGGGTATTTTAGTTTTTGGTCAGAAAATACTGTAAAATCACCAGGAATGAATCGTACAATTATTTTAATTTAGGAAATCTGTTCCCAAGTATTCTCACGAATAAAAAGAGAGACATACAGTATGTGATTCTGTCTCAATGTAATCAAGCTATTCAATTATTAGGTTATTTTCAAATGCAATCTCTTTTTGGGCTTACTTGTGGTCATTTGCAGTGTACAAATGATTATTATTATGTTCCGGCCCCACGACCACCCGCTCTGACAAAAATTGTCTGCTGCTGAATCTAGTGGCCTACCCCTGAACTAGGATTTTATTCATCCAGGGATCCACCATGCCCAATCCTGCTTAGCTTCAGAGGCAAGCCAGCGGAGGGATGCTGTGTAATATGGCTGCTAATAGTGACTTTGTCTGATTATGAGCTTTCCACAACTCAATTAAGACCTCACTCTCGCTCTGTCTCTCTCTCTGTCTGTCTGTATTGTAACAGGATTCCCCTCATTAGAGATATCTGTGTGAAAGCAGGGACCCCCAAATATGTCTTCACTAGGCTGGGAGACAATAGAGTTAACATTAGTAAGAGCTGCTCACATGCTCTCACTATTGAATCCTGACCCATATTATTGTACAGTGGGCTTTACTCACCTCTGAATGGAGGAAGAAGAGAGTCGTGAATATTTATTACAGATAATGCCTCTGTCTCTCCTCTCCTCCCTTCCCAGTGCTCTGGATTGGGGTCTTTTGGTAAAGAGACAAATCCTTAGGTGGGAAGTTGCCAACATGGATAATACCAGTGTATTGGGGGAATTAGTTGAGACTCAGGCTCTGAGAAGCTTGGGCCTCGTCATGTGTGTGTGTGTCTGAGTGCCTGCGCTAGACATTGTTCAAGGAGCTTTAAACCTCAGGACAGATAACCTGTGTGAGGCCGAGGGAGAGAGATAGAGAGAGAGAGAATGAGCGAGAGAGACAGCGAGAAAGCGTGAGATAGAGAGAGAGACAGAGACAGAGAGAGAGAGAGAGAGAGAGAGAGAGAGAGAGAGAGAGAGAGAGAGAGAGAGAGAGAGAGAGAGCGACAGAGAGAAAGCGTGTGCGAGAGAGAGACTGAGAGAGAGAGTGAGAGAGTGAGAGATTGAGAGAGTGAGAGAGTGAGAGAGTGAGAGAGTGAGAGAGACAGAGAGACAGAGAGACAGAGAGACAGAGAGACAGAGAGACAGAGGAGTAAAGGAGTGATAGTAACAGGGATGCATGGCAGTGCTTCTCCTGTATTTCACCCCCAGTGAAGTGCTGACACGTGAAAGTGAAATCATCTCTCTGTATCTTATCAGGTCGCTGACGGTTCAATTACCAGGACAAGTGTGTGTGCCACCGCCATCTATCCTCACCAGGGTGAGTGTGTGTGTGTGCGTGTGAAGTGCCGTGGCCATTCATCTATCACAGGCCTGTCTGCTCTATGGCTGGTGGGCTGAGGTCTGCTTCAGCTCACACCAAGCCAGGGTCTCTGTGGTCACACACAGAACAGATTTACACCTCTCTAGCCCCCACTGTGCCCTGCAGGGTTGATCGACTGTACAGTCACACTGTTAAATACACTTGGTGGGGAGGGGAGGGAAAGGTTGAGGACGAGGGTGATGGAGCAGGGGAGGACGACGGGGGAGGGATGGTAGAGGACAGAATGGTGAGGTTGAGGTGAGTGAGGTGATGGGTGAAGGCAGGTGGAGGTGAGGGAGACGAGAGAGGAGAGCGAGAGGAGAGGAGGAGGAGAGTGAGAAGAGGAGAGGAGAGGAGGAGGAAGAGGATGAGCGAGAGGATGAGGAGATGGAGAGGAGAGGAGAGGCGAGAGAGGAGGAGGACTGAGGAGAGGGAGAGAGATGAGGAGGAGAGGTTGGGGAGAGGCGAGGGAGAGGCGAGCTTTTTGCTAGCGAGAGAGGAGGAGGGAGAGGAGAGGGGGAGAGGAGAGGGAGGAGAGGAGAGGAGAGGAGAGGAGAGGAGAGGAGAGGAGAGGAGAGGAGAGGAGAGGGGCTCATACAGTTGGACTTACAGGAGAAAGCTCCTGTCTCTCTTTTTCTAACCTGCTGAGTGTAAGAATGAAAGTCTCTGGGAAGAGGAAAATATATCTCTGGTCATGTCTGTGTTTAGACGTGGTCAGTGCTTATAATAGCTGGTGGCCACTTTTTCTCTGGTTCCAGTGAGCCAGATGCAGTCACAGTGTAGTGGACAGTAAGATAACAGTGGTTGTGGTCATGGTTTCTGTCACATGGACAGTCATTCATTCAAAATTCTAAAGCTAGCTGTGGCTTCCGGGGAACTCACTTTAAGTCAGTGGCAGTGTGTGTGAGTGTGTGTGTGTGTGTGTATGTATGTGTGTGCGCGTGTGAATGTGTATGTTGTTGTTCCCAGCAGGCCATACCTGAGTAGCCGTGTGTCCCTGTACCTCCCCCCTCCAGGGTAAAGCACTTAAGCGGTGCGCCTCAGTCCAAACATCTGTCTACAGCAGACCAGCAAGCCAGCCAGCCAACCTCTACACTACAGCAAGAGCCTCTAAATGAACAGAGACCTGACAGAGACCAGAGAGCACCTCTAAAATATACATGAAAGCTACCTTCCTCCCTCCTCCTCACCCCATCATAGGAAGAGAAAGATAAAGAGAGAGAGAGAGAGAGAGAGAGAGAAAGAGAAGGGGGAGAGAGAGAGAGAGAGAGAGAATGAGGGCTAAAAATCAACTGGGGCTGAGATTGAGAGAGACTAATGGGCCAGTCGTAACTAAAGGCTGATAGAGTGAGAGAAAGCAGTAGAAAAGGGAACCCTGACAGTGGGTCTGTGACAGACTGTGGTGGCCACAGCACTGAGTGGAAGTGGAACCAGTGAGTGGTCTAGCCATTTCCATGGTGACCTGGTGGGAGCAGTGCGTGTCCACTCCCCTGTCCTGCTGTCTGCCTGTCGGCCATTACGGCTGACCTTCCCCCCCGCTAGGACCACAGTTGCCTCCCTGGCCACTCCATATATATGGTAATGAGACCAGAAGAGAGGCTGGTGTCAGAGCCAGACTGCATTAGACAGGGGGGCAGGGGAGGGGGTCAGGGGGACGTGGTAGGGGGGCAGTGTGTCAGTGTGTATGTGTGTGTGCTTGTGTGTGTCAGTGTGTGTGCCGGGAGGGAGGACAGTGTCAGTGGGGAATCGATAGACACTATCGCGGAGTCACGAGAGCTGGGGTCAGCCAAGGATCTTAATCTATACCATGGACATGCTGTCTCTCTCTGTCTGAGATTACAACTCATCAGGGAGTAGAGGGGGAAGGAGAGATGGACAGAGTGAAGAAAAGAGAGAGGAAAGGAGTGACCACTCCACTGTGGGGCCCTGGGGGTCTGCTGAGGGCATTTCACTGCATTTTCAACACAGATATTCATGGAGGTAAGATTCCGCTTGGACGGACACAGACCCCCCACAGACCCCCATAGCCCTATGGTCAGAGAGTGAGGTTCACACACTCACACATGCCAACGGCCACATGGCTGACTGCCTTGCTCATACCTCCACTACAGAGCTGAGAGTGGGCCAGAGAAATTGTGTCCAGCAAAGTTGGGTAAGTGGTTCAGACTTCAGAGAAGTTGTTTGGTAAGTTTATTCAGGAGAACGATTAGTACCAGCAGATGACTGGTTGACAGCCTGTAGCTTTTGATGCAAAAGGTACTGGATGCAAAAAAAGAGCCTCAAACAAGCAGGAACACACACACATGCGTGAATGAATACCCCAGAAAAAACCTCTAAAACACACACAGAGGTACGTACCTTGGGTTTGGGCGGTGGGGTGCTGCGGCTCTTCTCTTGGTGTGTGTTGGTGGGAGAGTGGGTGTTCAGGTTTGTCTGGGGCATACTGCTGTGTTTGGCCCCTGGAGACACCTGCATCGCTGCCAGCTGTGCCGCATACAGCTGCTATAGAGAGAGGGAGGGAGGGTCAGGGAGGGGAGGGGGAAGGGGAAGGGGAGGGGGGGGGGGGGGGGGAGAAAGAGGTACAGAGAGGGGGGAAGAGAGGTAGAAAGAGGGGGAGAGAAACAAGAAAGGGACACATGAATAAATGAATACTCAGAGCATACAAACAAAAAGAAGACGCCAGCTAAAAAGCCCTGGTTGGCCATGAGTGAGTGGCTGATGGCCTGTTTGGGTGACAGAGAGAGAGAGGGACGCTGTCACTTCCCCTGCCACATGGCCCCGTGGGAACACACTAACAGCCTCGATCTCTGAGTGAGAGATGTCCCCTTCGGGTGCATCTTGGGAAGGAAACACTCAGAATCTTACTGGTTCAGAGAGAGAGAGAGAGAGAGAGAGAGAGAGAGAGAGAGAGAGAGAGAGGACAGACAGACAGACGACAGAGACAGGACAGAGACAGAGACAGAGACAGAGACAGAGACAGAGACAGAGACAGAGACAGAGACAGAGACAGAGACAGAGACAGAGAGAGACTCTCAAGGTAAAAAAGTGCTTTTGATGGGGAGAGTCAGTGGATGGAGAGAAAGAGGGGGAAAAGTTGGGAATGTGTTTGGCAGACGGGACAAACCTAAGCTCTGTGCCACTGGTGGCAACACACCCGCAGGCATGCAAGCACACGCATCCTTACACACACTAACTCTCAGACTGGCATGAAGACAGTGACTGGTTTCTGCTTAGAATGAACAAGTAAGTGGCTGAAATTATCTGCCAGTAATATCTACTAAGGGGAGCGGAGGTTTCATTTTAGAATAAGATCTAAATTACTAATAATCCAGAGTAGTGACAGTGCTCTTGGATATTTACACAGTCTAATTGTCAGACAAAGTATTTAATACTCTCAAGCATATATTTCCACAGCAACAGACACACCATAATAAACTTGGAAATGAACGAGCTACAATATTCATCACAAGATCTTTTTCTCCTCCAGCTATTTCTGCTCGCCACAACAACGCTCTCCCATTCCCTTCATGTTCCTTTACAATAATTTTCACCAAATGTGTTTGTTCCTAATTGTCTTTAAGATGAGGAAGAGAATAGCTGTTTATGAGTCAAAACGGGCTGTGTTTTTCATTGTATTTGTTTGTAAAGGGAGGGTTTGGGTTTGGGAGCGGCCAACTATGTTGTGAGAGGAACTTCCGTCCTTCTGTTGGTGGTTGGCCGCCGGCCACGGAAGGGAAACAAAGACTGGTTTATGCAAATGGCCATGGCAGCTCTCACTACCCATCAGCCACTGCTTCCCATTAGACACACTCCTCCTGCTATCTCTAATAAAGACATTTCAATCCTGTTCTTGAGGAAAACAACAGTCATACACACACACACACACACACTAAGCACTTGTTTTCCTAGAGAATCTCAAATGAATATATTAATACGTTTCTGTGTTTTTCAAATATCTGACAAGCACGCTAGCACACTCACACGTAGGGATGCTCACCCACACAACCCTCTCTTAGTGTCTTTCTACTGGTCCTCTGTTAAAGCTGTGCTCTGAGACTGGTTGCACTGAACACTGAGACACAGTACAGTAGGTCAGGACTGGCTGATGAAATAAAGGTCTTGTTGGTCATTTCTGTTCAATTACCCCCACCATGACTCCTGGACGTGGGTGAACCCAAGCATGAACACACCCTCCTCTCCTCCCTCCATCCCTCCTTTCTCCCCTCCCACCCCACCAGCTCTGACCCGCCTGGGAGGCCAGTAGACCGCGGGCAGTGTGTGTGTGTGTGTGTGTGTTGTGTGTGTGTGTTAGTGCGTTGGGACCAGCGGTTCAGCATAGCTATATTTGCAGTGTGAATTGAGTTCCATTACGGGGCCAGCTCCCATCACTCAGGCCTGTTCAATGGGCCAGCGAGCAGAGTGACAGTCACTTTACACACACACACACACACACACACACACACACACACACACACACACACACACACACACACACACACCACACACACACACACACACTACAGAGCACGCCCAGAGCATAGCCCCATCGCCAAAACGACACGCATGTCATCAAACAGGAAGTGACAGCGCGGAGCCCCCGGGGTGACCCGAGGGGGGAGGAGGAGGGGGAGACAGACACACACAACACAATGAGTGAGAGGGGGAAAATCCTATCTTAGTTGAGACGAAGGAATTTAAATGTCAGCCACTAGCCAGGCACTAGGAGGTGGTGCAGGGAGGAGGGGGTGGGGGACAGGGAGTGGGGAGGAGGGGGGAGGACAGGGGAGAAGGTTAGTAAAGGATTTGTAAGGAGTGTCTCTGTCTCCCCTGTCTGTCTCTCAACCCTGAGCTGTGTTCGTTTCAACTCTCTAAACCTCTTTCATTCTCCTTACTCACTCTACCCTAATCCCTTCATGTGAGTCTTAGTCCATCACTATAAGGCTCTGTGGGGGTTCTATGTGTGTGTGTGTGTGTGTACGTTAGAGTGTGTGTGTCTGCGTGTGCACATGCATGTGTGTGTGTTTGTGTGTGTCTGTGTATGTCTGTGTGTGTGTGTGTGTGTGTGTGTGTGTGTGTGTGTGTGTGTGTGTGTGTGTGTGTGTGTGTGTGTGTGTGTGTGTGTGTGTGCGAGCACCAGTGGACAAGATAAGCTCAAGAACAAATGTGTGTGCAAGAATGCGAGAAAGAAAACTAAACAATGGGGTGTTTACACATGAACAAACAGGTGTGTATGCCTGAGAAGATACTGTGTGTGTATTCCTATAAGTGTGTGTGTGTCTGTGTGTGTGTGTGTCTGTGTACACCCCTCACACCCCCCACCCTAAGCCCTTTCTTTCCCGCCTCTCCTCTGTGGTCTCAGCCAGTTAGAACAGATCTGTGAATCTTTGTGTGGCTGTAACAGACATCTTCTCCCGTCAATAATCTCCAGTTTTACTCAGATTATGCTCTCTTCTTCCCTCTTTGCTCTTTGTTGTGTGAATAGATGAGGGTTCAGTCCAGGCCACAGCCATTGTTTACTCTGGTCAGCTAGGCCCATTGCGCAACAGACCCATTATTCCATTACTCCTGTTTGATTCCCTTAGAGATAACTGTCCTCGCCTGCCTGTGTGATGGTTGCTTGTTGTGTGGCGAGAGAGAGAGAGAGCGGAGAGAACAAGAGAGAGAGATAGGGAGAGGGAGCGGGAGAGGGAGAGGGAGAGGGAGAGGGAGAGGGAGAGGGAGAGGGGAGAGAGAGAGAGAGAGAGAGAGAGAGAGAGAGAGAGAGAGAGAGAGAGAGAGAGAGAGAGAGAGAGAGAGCAGGGATGAACTTTAAACCTGTCAGAATTGAATGTACTGTATATATCTCTTTCCATCTAACTCTCTCATTCTATCAGCTCTATTGTTGAAGTGGCAGTAAGATCTAAGGAAAGGAGGTTGTATTGTGATCAAATAAGAATGCAAAGGAAAATGAGAAGATCTGAAATCTGCATGGATTTATACTTCTTTCTCTCACTGTCTGAGACTGAGTTGAAGGTGGGACAGTGTGTGTGTGTGTTGTGTGTGTGTGTGTGTGTGTGCATGCGTGTGTGTGTGTTTGAACTGGAATGTCCTGACACTACGATACTACCTATATGAGCTCTTCCTACTCTCCTATATGGTATTGATCAGTAAAAACATTTCCCACAGACATCACAGACTAGTCTATACAGAGATATCAGCACTGAAATAATGTTTCCAATGCTAACTATCCTGTAGCCACCTTATCAGCATTGCTAAGTGTCAATGCATGCACATGTCCTGATAACACACATTGTCTCTCCCTCTCCTCGTTCTCGCTCTATCCTCTCTTTCTGTCACCTTCCTCCCTCCCTCTCTTCGGTGTACAGTGCAGTGATCCGGTACAATATGTTCCAACATCTGCCTCCCCATATGATGCCTGACCCGCTCCATTGACCCTCTTTATACCTCTCTAGAACTGTTGTTCACTCTTTCCTCTCCTCCTCTCCTCCTCATCCCTTCATTCCTCCCCTCTTCATATCTCTCTAGCACTGCTGTTCACATACTCCTCTCCTCCTCCCTTCCCTTCCCTCATCACTCCCCTCTTCATACTGTACCTCTCTAGCACTGCTGTTCACATACTCCTCTCCTCTTCCCTTCCCTTCCCTCATCACTCCCCTCTTCATACTGTACCTCTCTAGCACTATGGTTCACTCACTCCTCTCCTCCTCTCTTTTCCCTCACCCCTCTAAGTACCTGTCTCATACCTTGATTTCTTCATTTCATCTCTACTGATATAATACCTCTCTCTCTATCTCTTTCTCTCTCCCTACCTCCATACGTACTCCCCTGCCATATATTGTGTGTTATAATGAGACTACAGAGTAGTTATTGTATGGATGTAACCATCACAGGGAGTCTTTGTCCCAGTCTTATCTCTGTCAGACTACATAGACCAGGGGAGACCATGGAGGTATAGGGGTCATGACCTGGACTAAATGAGTTCCACATAGATCTCTACTGTCTCCTCTCCTCACAGCTGCTAATAAGAGACCAGCGCGGGTGTGTGTGAGACTTGAACATGATTCAAATGAGTATATGTGAGAGCACATATGCCATAGTGTGCCTTTGTTCAAATGCTGTGTGCCTTTATAGGACTTTCTGTGTGTTTTAGTGTGTGTGTGTGTGTGTGTGTGTCCCACCAGCCCCAGTGTATTGTTTGGCGGCTACGTTGTCGTTCCCTCATCTCTAGTGGTTGTGACCCTGGGGCAGGTAATTGTTATGTTAGTCTCAGAGCTCAGCAGCCAACAGCTTGTAAAACACATACACACATGCACGCAAGCATGCACGTTTGAACACACACACACACACACACACACACACACACACACACACACAAACACACACAGCCGCTTGTAAAACACCACAGCACACACACACTCCCAGAGGAAATATACCACATTCAGACATTTGTGTTTGGGTTAGCCTCACTAAATCATTTCTTTGTAACAGACTTAATCTGGGTTTTTTCTTTCTGAGGGGATTTAAAGAAGGCTGCTAGCTAGCACCAGCAAGCGATGTTGATAGATGTAGTTTTTTTGCTGTTGTTGTTCTGTTTAAATCCAATTGACTTGCGACAAAGCCCTTCAATCGGGGAGATTTTCTCAATCTGAACACAACGGAACATATGGAGCCAAGATGTGATAAAATCACTCAGGACATGCAGGGACAAGATATAACTCCCGCTCCCAAACACACACACACACACACACACACACACACACACACACACACACACACACACACACACACACACACACACACACACACACACACACAATGAAGCTATACTGACAGCACCTACCTTTGATGATAGAATTACATAGCTCAGCCTAGTTCGATATCAACACTGAATCTGGTGCATTGACTGTGTAAGTCAGACAGGTGCAAATGTATTTAACAGGCAACGCTTAACCTATATAACCCAGCCTGGTGTGTGTGTGTGTGTGCGCGTGTGTGTGTGAGCTCAGGTTAAGCGAGAAAGCTGTCCTCTTCTGGTAATATGCATGCAAATACGTAGCTTGCTTGGTGCAGCTGGGTTTCACTAATTGAGTGTGTGTGTTCAGCAGTGTGTGTGTGTGTGTGTCACCTCCCCTGCCTTTACAGTGATAATGCGTTGCGGGACAACCTAGGTCTGAGTGTGCTCTGTGTCCACTGATCTTCTGGGGTTAATGTATTTCAGACAGGCAGCAGAGAGGACGCCCGCCCAGGCTCTTAACCCCTGAGAGAGGGGTCCTGAGGCAGTCGCGGATCTGTGGCTAAGATCTCCGCTCTGCATATTTAGGCTGCATTCTAAATGGCACCCTATTCTTTACATAATGCACTACTTTAGACCAAAGTAGCGCACTATGTAGGGAATAGGGTGCCATTTGGGACGCACCCTAAGATCTGTTCCGGGGTCAGGATTAACTGACGATAGCCCACTTATTCTAAATATGCAGAGCGGAGAGAGGGAGGGAGAGGGACGGAGGGAGGCAGCAAGTGCTAAAGATGGGCTCATCCCTCCATCCTCTCAGAGTGGAGGAACAGATGTTACGGATTTTTTGTCTTTCGTTTTTTGATCATTCTTTTTTTCTTGTCCAGATTTATCAGATGGAGTGAACAAGTGGGCTACTCTCTCAGATAAACGAGGGAAGAAGAGGAGGGAGAGGAAAAGACGAGGGAAATAGTGTGTAATTGTGTGTGTTGGGGACTGGAATGTGTGTGTGTGTATGTATGTGTGTGTGTGTGCATTCGTGCGTGTGAGTGTGTGTCCTAACCTGTAAGCACCACCAGGCTGGGTTGTTGTAGTTGGAGTCTACTCCAAACTGTTCAATAGTCCTGTCGATCCCCACTTCAGACCCTCTCCGTCCCTACCATTCACACACACAGTATTCAGAATATTCAAAATATTACAGAGCCAGAGTGACAAAACTGCAGACTTTGCTCTGTATTTGGTCTTTTTAACTGAATAGTTGGGGTTTCTATGGCTCCAGACTTATGAGAGTGAACAATAAGTAGCACTTTAGTGATTCTATTCTCTACTCAAGGTCTCTAATCCAGAACAAAAGAGCATCACTATGGTAACCTAACACTGTCATCAAACAGAAACCAGAACCACCAGTTTAGTAAGTTAGCAGTGGCTCTCAAACCTCTCCTCGGCACCCCAGCTGTTCCGTGTATTTGAACTATTCCAGAGCACACCTGATTCAACTTGTCAACTAATTATCAAGCCCTTCACTTGGTGAATCAGGTGAGCTAGTTCAGGGATACAACAAAATTGTGAAACGTCTGGGGGTCCCCGAGGAGAGGATTGAGAACCACTGAGTTAGGGCGATATCCTTGGACCTAAAACACAACAACATTGCAATGTTACAATAGAAAGGTTTACTCTCTGTATTAAGGCTTTGGGAGGCATTTGGAGGAAATTGAAATATTGGTGAAAATGTTAATTGATATAAAATCATCATCATCATCGTCATGGTGTTGGTCTTACCTGGAGCTGTAGTTGACCGAGGCCTGGGGTTGCCGCGGCAGCAGCTGCTGCCATGGTAGTAGGGACCAGCTGGAGAGGGTAAGGGTCACCTGGACATAGGAAAATAAAAAAGACACGTCAGCTATCTCTCCTTCCTCTCTTCCTTCACTCCCTCCTTCTTTTTCCTGTTCAGTGTCTCCCTACCAGTTATGTGTTTGACATCAGTCTGTGCCTCTCTCTCTCAACACCTTCACACTCCTCTATGTGCACTAAAACAGCCCTTTCTCACCCTTTCACCATAAATTGCTCTACCTCCCCTCTACCTTCTTTTCCTCTTTCTACAGCTTTGACACTCCTGTGTGAGACCTCTCTCCTTTCACTTCCTCCCTTCCTCCCTGTCCTCTACTACGGCCAAATGGTCCCCATCCCATCTCTCTCTCTCCTCCTCTACCTGCAGTCCAGACAAACCCTTTACTCTTCTCTCCCCTTGTTCTCCATTATATCCCTCCATCTGCCTCCCCTCCCTCCATCCCTCCCTCTCCCCCTCCATCCCTCCATCTGAGCTCCCTCCCTTTCTCTGGTCCATTCTAAAGCCCTTCTTTGTCCTGTGTCTGGTGTGTCCTAATGAAAGGCTGATTGTGTGGCCTCTCTCTAATACCTCCTGACAAAGACTCTGAAGGTGTTCAAAGATAAAGACGCCCTGGACGTAATTAAGCCAGCAAGGGCGACGTCATCTTCGCCGCGCTCTCTCTGTTCTCTCTTTCTCTCTCTCTGTCTCTGTCTCTGTTCTATCCGCTCTTTGTCTATGCTCTCTCTCTCTCTATGCTTGTTCTTGTTCTCGCTCTCTCTCTCTCTCTCTCTCCTCTCTCTCTCTCTCTCTCTCCCTCTTCTCCTCTACTCTCTCTCTCTCTCTCTCTCTCTCTTCTCCCTCTCCTCTCTCTCTCTCTCTCCTCTCTTCTCTTCCTCTCTCTCTCTCTCTCTCTCAGTAGCCCATGTCGGCAGTAAGTGAAGGCTGATGAATCACGGATGGAGAGAATAGGAAATAAAAAAGAATGGAGCAGGTTATTAGCACCCAGCTGCAGATAGCTAGGGCCCGTGTAATTACTATGGGAGGGAAAGGTCAGAAAGGAGGGATGGAGGGAGAAGACAGGGGGAGGAGGGATGGATGGAGATGGGGAGAAGGGATGGAGGGAGGAGACGGGGAGGGGGGATGGAGGGAGAAGACAGGGGGAGGAGGGATTGAAGGGAGAAGACAGGCGGAGCAGGAATAGAGGGAGAATACAGGGGGCAGTAGGGGTGACAGGGTTCAACAAGCCACCGGTGTTCTTATTCCTAGACAGTTATATTATAGTGTTTGTTATTTGTGTTAAACACAAAATAAGAGAGTGAAAGATACTCCTGTTTTGATAAATGTATGCATTTATTTAATTAAAGGGTGTATCTATTAAAATGAATGCAATGATGGTGGAATATTACTGTCATATTCCAGTGTGCTACTGGGCATAGACAGTCAGATATAAACAGTGATGCTAATACATCAGAATGTTCTCAGGGTATGACCCTGCATATCTGACTGGGTCCCAGAGTGACTTGGTCACAAGGCTATATCAGGCCAATACACTGGGTCTCTCCTCTCCGGCCATGGCACTGGTGTGTGTGTGTCTGTGTGTGTGCCTGGCCTTGTAACGGTCAGTCCTGATCCAGGACTCCATCCAGGACCCCGTCTCAATAAGCAATAAACCAGACTTCAGCAGTCAGCCTCTCCAAAACATTTTTCCCATACAACTCTGGGACAAAAGAAATGCCAGGGTTCAAGAAGCATTTTTTAGAGGGATAATTATTTCAGTGGATGTGTGGGTCTCTCCTCCTGCTCCTTAGACTACTGGGCGGGACTGAGAGTTTTCACTGAGAGAGAGAGAGAGAGAGAGAGAGAGGAGAGGAGAGAGAGAGAGAGGAGGAGGAGAGAAGAGAGAGAGAGAGAGAGAGAGAGAGAGAGAGAGAGAGAGAGAGAGAGGAGAGAGAGAGAGAGATATGATAGGGACTAGAGTGGAGGCCACACTGGGCAAATTGTTTATTGTGTGTGTGAGTTCTGTCTACAGTGTGTGGTGTTTACTGTGTACAGCAGCGGTTCTCAATCTTGGTCCTTTTTGTTTTTGCCCTAGCACTACACACCTGATTCAAATCATCAAAGCTTGATGATGAGTTGCTCATTTGAATCAGTTGTGTAGTGCACCCCTTTGGGTCCCCAGGTCCAAGATTGAGAACCACTGATGTACAGTATGTACTATAGATGATGTGTATGTATGGAGTGTGTGTGATGACAGTAAAGTCTACTACTAGTTCAAAAAAATATAAGACTAACTTTCAAAAGTCAACAAGTGTTGATGTTTCAGAAGAACAGCAGCACTACCTGTCATTCAGGTCAACACCATTCTCCTTGGCTCAGGCAGAGAAAAGACAGCAATAATCATCTAAGACGTGGGGGTCTTTAAGTGGGTAGTGGGCGAGGATTGGCACATAATGGCATTAATTGAAAATGGAAGGAGACTTGTTTAGGAAGCTGTTAGTTTCTGGGGGAGGAGCTGGACCTTAGAGAGACCAGTCTGTCTGTCTGTAGGGGGAGGCGTGTGCGAGGAGTGTTGTATTGGCGTGTTGGATGCATGTTCTGGCGGGGGCCTGTGTTAATGTGAGGGAACCTGGGGCAGGTCACGCTACCCCCTGGCATGTTCCTACGGTATTCGGAATGTCGTTCCTGGCACACGCGTGTTGCTTCTCGCGGTAAACAACACATTTCCTCACAGCCGGACTGCCGCGGCCAATAACAAGTCCCACAGGATGAGGCATTTTTTGTTGCTTTCAACCAAAGAAAAAACTGGAAAATTGAAAATGGAGACAAAAGGATGAGCCAAGTGAAGGAATGAGCCAACAGACAGAGAGAGAAAGAGAGAGAGAAAAAGAGAGGGAGAGAGAGAGGGTCCCTGTCTCTGTAGAAAATACACTTGTTGTGGCGTGGCAACAACACCACTGAGATGTCCCAATCTAGACCCACAGAGAATAGTGAGTTTTAGGAGAATGTTGCTACTTACTGCAGCCTGGTTTGTAGTTGAATCCGGGGGGCAGTAGAAAGCCTTGCTGGGCAGCAGCTACAGCCAGAGTCCTCTGGTCTGGAGGGAACACTGGGATCATCAACGGAGGCAGCTGCCCCTGGACCTGCTGAGAGACGGGTGGAGGGGGAGGAGGAGAGGAGGATAGGAGAGGGAAAGAGGAGGGGAGAGGAGAGGAAGGGAGAGGGGAGGAGGAGGGGAGAGAGCGATAGAGAGATATCAGTTTATTGAGCATATGGATGTACGTATCTGATTGGGCGTGGGGGAGGTATGTGAGCGTGCAGTCCAGGTGTAGTCAGACATTGATCTTGGGTAGTGAGGGGGAACAGAGCAGACGGAAGCAGAAGGCTGGTCTATCTGTATGAATGTAGGCCAGCTGGGGGTATCAGGTCCTGTCTGTGACCTTTAACCTCTAGACACAATCACAGCTCAGTGTGGTGAGGTCAGGTAAGGTCATCTGGCCACGAACAAGATAAGAAGGAAGAAACTGAAGAATGCTTACACACAGACACACACATGTGCAGCTATACACACACAAACAGGGACAGAAGAAAGTGCACAAACACACACACCCCTCCCGCCGCACACCCCCATCCAACACACCAATACATACTCTCTCCTCTCCTCTTGAGCACCTGCGTCTGATTTAGAGCTGTGTATATGAGCTGAGACAGGTCAGAGGCAGGGAGTCCTGTCCTGTTGATTACCGAGACAACGAGGGAGTCACGTGGAAGAATCACAGCTAAACTCTCATAACAGCTGGCCTGGCTTCTTCCCTCCCCGAGGAGAGAGGAGAGAGGAGAGAGGAGCGCTCTGCGTCGGCAGCACGCCATCCCTCTTCACAAGGTTTCCAGGACTCAGAGAAAAAAGACAAACTCAGTGACTTTGGCAAGAGGAAGAGTCTGAGTGTTCAGCACAGAAAGAGAAGTAGGAGACAGATGGTGGAAGCCGAAGACTGTGTGTGTGTGTGTGCGTGCGTGTGTCTGTGTGTGTGTGTGTGTGTGTGCGTGCGTGCGTGCGTGCGTGCGTGCGTGCGTGTGTGTGTGTGTGTGTGTGTGTGTGTGTGTGTGTGTGTGTGCGTGCGTGCGTGCGTGCGTGCGTGCGTGCGTGCGTGCGTGCGCGTGCGTGCGTGCGTCTGTCTGTGTGTGTGCGTGCGCGCGTGTGTGTGTGTGTGTGTGTGTGTGTGTGTGTGTGTGTGTGTGTGTGTGTGTGTGTGTGTGTGTGTGTGTGTGCGTGTGTACGTGTGCGTGTGCGTGTTCAGCTGAAGACTGCTCTGCCAAAAACAACACAAAGACTCTGAGGAGTGACGACTGACAGAAGAGATGTGGAGAGACATGGGAGAGATATTATAGTCGTCCGCAGTATGAGGAGTTAGATAGATGGATAATAACAATGATTTGTAGGCTAAGTTTGAAGATAACAAACCCAGGTGGACCTTATAGTTTCATAACCAAGGGTTGAATGAAATATAATTAAAACCCAAGGAACAAAAGGAATAAGCTATTACATGTAGAAATAAATATCTGAATTGTTATAAAACATTCAATGACATGGACATAGATGCAACTCTTCAAATTGAATGTCAAAGTGACACTGGTACCCGAAGTATTTTCTTATTCCCCCCATCCGTCTCTCCTTCCCTCTCATTTCACCCTTTCTCTCTATGATAAGGGATGGAATATGCTATTAATTAATGGAGGAAAAAGCTGTACAAAGATGTTATAACATCATCATCTTATGTCACCGCAGGATATAGGACAGGTAGGTGAGTTAAATGGAAGATAGGATCAAGTATTTCCTCCTCCCTCTCTTTCCTTCCCCCTTTCTCACTCCCTCCCTCTGTTTCGCTTTCTTTCAGAAATGAACATTCTCCATGTCTTTCTATCCACCATCCAGTGTGTGTGTTTGTGTCTTGTGCGCCGCCCCATGGGTCTCCCGGTCGCGGCCGGCTACAACAGAGCCTGGATTCGAACCAGGATCTCTAGTGGCACAGCTAGCACTGCAATGCAGTGCCTTAGACCACTGCGCCACTCGGGAGCACACATAGCAGACAGAAAGTGTGTGTGTGTGCTTTCTGTCTGCTATGTGTGTGTGTGTGCTTTCTGTCTGCTATGTGTGTGTGTGCTTTCTGTCTGCTATGTGTGTGTGTGCTTTCTGTCTGCTATGTGTGCTCCCGAGTGGCGCAGTGGTCTAAGGCACTGCATCGCAGTGCTAGCTGTGCCACTAGAGATCCTGGTTCGAATCCAGGCTCTGTTGTAGCCGGCCGCGACCGGGAGACCCATGGGGCGGCGCACAAGTTGTCCAGGGTAGGGGAGGGAATGGCCGGCAGGGATGTAGAGCATGGCGTTTGCAACGCCAGGGTTGTGGGTTTGATTCCCACGAGGGGGCCAGTATGATATAAAAAATCACTCACTAACTGTAAGTTGCTCTGGATAAGAGTGTCTGCTAAATGACTAAAATGTAATGTTTGTATTCAAAGTCATGCCTCTCCTGCCTGTGTGTCTTTTCTCCTGTGTGTGTGTGTGTGTCTCCTCTCAGGCTCCTCATCCAGTTTACCACACTACACCATAACCACAGGCAGGATCGGCGCAGCGCGAGGGGAATAGTGGAACTGGATCCGCTTGTTTCCCCCACCACACAATAATTACACCACAATTTTGGTTAACCATAAATGGCATGTGTTGTGCGCGGTGCGGCCGTGGATCAGACGGGAGAGGCACGATAGCGGAAGGTTTGGACAGGCCCCCTGCGGAGGCGAATCACAGACACTGCAGCTCCTTTCTGCCTTTCAAACCTAATTGGACATATGCTGGAGAGGAGCAGGCTGCAGCTACCCATAGATTCATGGGGATAGGGGAGACTGGAGGTATTTCACTGTGGCCACCATACACAGAGGCACACAGGCACAGGGCCAACACGATCTCATAGTTTCCCTTTGAAATTAGACGTATTGTGGATGAACGTCTATCTTTGACGCATTCATTCCATGTGGTTACAGGGTTAATTTGGCGTGGTTACATGGTTAAAACAGAAACAACTCATAGGTTAACGGTTTAGGCCATTCTGAGTGGTTAAGATAAGGGCTATGGTTTTGGGGCTTTAAAACAAAAATAATTTAAAAAAGACTCGCTATTAATGTGAAGTATCATCAGTATTCACAGTATTCTAACAGCTAGCTAGAGCATTGTGAACTGCCGTAGTGCAGTGGTCTGAGCAGCACTCTTGGGCTCCGAGCATCACGAGTTCGCGCCCAGTGCTGGGCAATCATTTAAAACAATATTGTGAACGCAGAGGAAGGCATAAATCAACTTTATCCGCACTTTTTCTAACGTCCAAAATCGAAGTCTATTTCTTGTGATCAGGCTGCATGGGCCAGCACGCACACACACAGAGACACAGAGACACAGAGACACAGAGACACACACACACACACACACACACACAAGAAATATATATGATGTTTCGTATGGCTTTATTATAGACACACAATCTCCCTTAATGTTGGCAAATAGGTAGCTTGTGCGTGCATATGCGTGAGAGACAGAGGGGAGTCGTGACTGCTACCTCGTGGCTCTAGTCATCCTGTCATCCACATACAGATCAAAACAACCCTAAAACCATCTCTCATATAAATCGTCTCTCACATAGAACAAAGTACATCCAAAAAGCCATATTACAGTAAATCCACAATACAGTCCAGATTATTATTATTACAATACTTTAAATCTCAATTTTAAGGTAAATGGTATAAGAAGTTAATAAAAACAATGGGGTTTTGAACAGTATACTGAGTCTGACTGAGAGAGAAATACAGCCCATATGTTAATCCTCTAACAGTTTAGTCAGATCTCTAGTGTGTGTGTGTGTGTGTGTGTGTATTGTGTGTGTGTGTAACAGTTTAATCAGATCTCTGGAACAGCTGTTCACTCTCATAAACACACCACTATCCCACAATGCAGTAGCAGCCAGCCAGCGACAACCAGGCCTGTTCAGCTCCATCTCTCTCTGTCTGACCACCATTAAGACTCTTTATTACATTGGGATTATTATTGTATGGGAAGAGGGATTTTTTTTGTTCACACACACATTCACAGGCAGAGACACAGGCATGCGTGCACACACGCCCACGCACGTGCCCATGCACACCCACGCACACTTGCACACACACACACACACACACACAATATCCAGCTGTTGTGTAGGGATTAGCAGGGGTTAACAGCTCTCCCAGATTGATCTGATGCTATTGTCCCCAGTCCCACAGACCAAAATGCTCATGGCTCAGTACGATTGGCTGATGGGACAAGAGGATAAAAAACGTGTGTGTATGCGTGTGTGTGTACAGAGCCAGATTGCCTGAATGAGAACACAGGCCACCTCTCAAAACATGCAACCAATGAAACATGGAGCAGAGATCTACAAAATCAACTGCCAATCAACATTGCTGAATTCTTTAGCAGATTTCACAATTCATGTTGCATTGGTGCCAGCAATTTTTCAACTTTAACTTTAAAGGCCTAACTGAATTTGCTTCATGAGAAACTTGATTTTAAACTTCTCATTTGCTCAAAGCATGAAATTATGTTCTCCTGAGAGAGAGAGAGAGAGAGAGAGAGAGAGATAGAGAGAGAGAGAGAGAGAGAGAGAGAGAGAGAGAGAGAGAGAGAGAGAGAGAGAGAGAGAGAGAGAGAGAGAGAGAGAGAGAGAGAGCTATTCTCTGCGCTATACAATGCTTCAGATCTGACATCTGAGAAAAAGAGAGAAAGCGAGGCCAGATCCATCAGGACACAGCAACATAAAGGCAAACACACATCTAACAGAGTCTATGGGAATATACTGTTCTGCTGTTCTGTGTGATCCAACATAACGATAACATAAATCTAACATACAGAAAACACAGTGAAACTACATACAGGAGTTGAAAAGGCTGGCTTCCTTCCGTTTTGGTCCAAAACCTGAAACAAAACAGAGAAACTCCATCCAAAAACCTCTTCTTCTAATCAGTCTTGCTTAAAAACTCGGGAACAGAAACTCTCCTGTAGAAAAACATGAGGGGAAGCAAGAAACTTTCTCTTCACAACTTTCTTTCACACAGCTGTGAAAAAGAAAAGGAATAATTTATAGAACTAAAACGGAGTAGCAACGAGAGTAGAGAGAGGAAAGAGGAGAGAGCTGGCAGCGAAGCTCGCTCTGCGTCGTTCGCCAGGCGGCACAGCTTGAACTTAAAGCTTTCTG